GACTGCCCTAACTGAAAGGCTATTGGGTGGACAATTGGGAGATATGCGAAAAACAGAACTCTCCAAATATCACAGGTGGCCTGGAAGGGAAGGTGGCACCTGAGTAGCTCTGAGGAACATGGCTTCCACATCATGTGCTCCTCTGACAGCAGCCCTGGCTGGCAAATCACAAAAGGTTTGCCAGTTGAAAGACCAAATTTCACAAATCACACATGGTTTGTCAGACCTGAACTTGCAGCAGGAATGGTGAGGGTATTTGGGTGAGACTTGGGGAAGGGGATGCTTTAAAACTAGTCTCCGTGTACTATTTGTAATGTCTCCAGTTTTATATTTTTAATTTTTTCCCCTTATTTTCAAATGTAAAAAAATCATTCAAAACAGTTAAGGTTGATAAGGACAAACAACACCCACATCAAAACCACAAAAGCAATGAAATATTGAGTAAAACCATACAAACTGATCACCAGGAAGTATTATCTGGAGAACTACTGCAGCAGTGAATTTAAATGCTCAGCCAGAACATTTCATTCATGTACATATATAATGCAAAGTTTTGCCATAGTTGGGAAATATGCTTTCTCTCCCTCTGTGTTATGGCTATTACCTTTTTGTTTTCTGTTTTTTGGTGTGAAAAATAAAACAGAAAGGGATTTGACTTACCATGGCCAGAAGGTTGTAAATTCTGATTGATGCCAGGAAAGAGGATTTCTAAACACTCCAGAAATTGCTGGCAGGTTGACTCCCCTTTTTTCTGTATGTGAATTAACAACTTCCTGATTTTGATCACGATGTCCTCTTTTTGATTGATGCTGTTGTACTCCTCTATAATGATGCACTGGGCAAGTAACTCATCCAAGATGTTGTCAGGGTCTCTTTGAATAGTTTCTACCAGCTCTTTGCGTTTGGTGCATAAAATCCTGTATTTGTCCCCAGTGGCCATTATCACTGAATCGCAGGATCCGCAGTGATTTGCTTTTAAAAGACAGAAGACACAGGATTTGTAAAACTGCTAGAGGCAGCTTCAGTTTAGCGAGTAACACTCTAGGAAAGTGCCTTGTCCGTTATCATGAGATTGGCCATTTCAACAATTTGAGAGACAGACCCACCAGACTCCCCTCTTTCCTGTTGAAAATGGAATAGTTCTGTAATAACGACTGGAAATTAGCTATAGCAGTGCACTGGGGTTCATGAAAACTGGGTGTTAGTGCCCATGGGGTTGAGACAGGGCCAACGCCAATAATGCTGCCAAAACTGAACTGCAGCTCTGGCTCATTCACACCTTCCCGGCTCACTGTTTCAAAGCTGCTCCTTGTACCCGTCTTTTCCATCCCAGGGCAGGAAATGAGGGGTTAGCTGTTTTGCTAGTTAGATACCAGCATGTCTATTGTGGTCATTACCAGGATTCTTTGCTCTAATATTTTGGCCCCTGGGGAGGTAAATATGAAAGGCAGGGGTTAGATTAGCAGCAATCCCATTTCTGAGTAGAGTGAAATATCTCCTCCTTGCATATTTATCATTGACATGTCCATTAAAGTCATGCAAGTCCTTATCTGACTTGGTGCCAACATCCCATCTTTATTAACTCATGCCTTACCCCAGGCAAACTTCCAGCTAAAGTCTAAGTAAGGGCTGAGTAAAAGTAAGGTGCTCAGGATTGGCCCAGACATATGTATTCTAAGAAGTTTCCAAATTTTACTTTACTACAAAATGGCACTTACCTTCCACTCTCTGTCCCAGTCTAGGGAGATCCTGTCTATTGCTAAGGTGTCTGCTCGGTTTTATATAAGGGATAAGATAAGACTTAAAGAGGTGATTTTGGAGAGCTGAATTGGCCAGCTTTTTTTGGGTTTACATGAAATCACTGTAAGAGAAGAACTCACAGGCCAGAAAAATGTAACATCATTCCCCTCTCAAGTGACACTTGGCGCAGTTACAGGCTCTATTTGTGTCCGACCTAGTGATGAGCCAAGGTGAAATGGATAGGGTTTGAACTCAGGGTAGGTATGTACCACAACATTCATTGCCATGTCAGCCTGATAGAACAAGGCTGGAATGGAAAGGAAGACATGTTTGCAGGTTCAAATGGCTTTGTTCTTCCCCTGGAGGAAACAGGGGATGTGCTAACAGAGAGGATGCTGGGATAGCAGAGGAACTTGTCACTGGTGGGCCACATCGGTGCCCGCTGACCCCAAACCAGTGACATTCAGATGATCTGAGTTTACTGGAGTGGCTTCATCCAGCGGTTAGTGCACTCTCCTGAGAGGTGTGGGAGGCCCCTGTTCAAATCCTTTCTCCCCATCAGGCAGAGTGGGGAATTGAAGCTGGATCTCCCACATCCCAGGTGAATTCTCTAATTGCTGCACTAAAAATTATAAGATGGACTCTACCACATCCCCCACCAGCTGGATTTTGAATGAGGCCTGCTCTAGTAAAGGCCTGTTCAGAGCACATTTACCAGATTGGGACCTGCAAGGAAGTTAGGTGGGCAAATAGCAATTTCCCCCTGGTTTGTGGATTGCACTGGGATTTATGCCAGAGAGAGGCCTCCAGTGCCTGGAAGGAGGCTGCAGTGCTCATGCCCACAGGTGGAAATATAGCTGCTAAAGGAATTTTTACAGGGAAGAGTTCAGTGCTGAGTGAGTTTAGGCAATTACAGGGTTAGGCAGCATCTGAGCTGGAGTGTTGTGGGTTGCAGTGGTGCCTAGACTTGAGATTTAGGCTCCTAAGTCCCTTTGTGGATCTGGGCCATAGGAGCCTAAGTCCCATTGATTTTCCTGGAAAGCAGAGAATCTGAAAAGGATTCAGGTGTCATAGTGGACAAACAACTCAACATGAGTTCCCAGTGTGATGCTGTGACAAAAAGGGCTAGTGCAGTCCCTGGACATATAAACAGAGGAGTATGAGTGGGAGGGGGAGCCAATTTTACTTCTGTATAAAGCATTGGTGAGATTAATACTGGAAGGCTACATCCAGTTCTCATGTCTGTGGTTTAAAAAGGACATTGAAAAACGGGAGAGGATGTGGAAAGCCAGATTTGAGAGCTGGAGAAAATGCCTTAGGCCTGATCTGCACTACTAAGTTAGGTTACCACAAGAGCCTAAAGAGCTCAATCTTTTTAGCTTATCAAGAGGTCAGACTTGATGATCTAACGGTCC